TAATTTTTTGACTTATTGTAGAGATGAGGTCTCGCCAAGTTGCCCAGGCTGGTCTCAAACTCCTGGGCTCAGGCAATCCTCTCGTCTCTGCTCCCAAAGTGCTGGGATTACAGGTGTGAGCCACTGTGTCTGGCTCATTTTGCATTTCATATTGATTGTACAATTCTAGAATAAACAAAATGATTCTATAGTGCCACCAAAGCCATCAGTGTGTGCCTGGGCAGGGGTGAGATCGTGACACAAGGGGGCACAGAGTACTTTCTAGGGTGATGAAAATGTTCTATATCTAGTTTGAGGTGGCAGCTACCCAGGTATACACATTTGTCAACATGGGTTAAATTTAAATAGGTGCATTTTATTATACGTAAATTAGACATCAATAAAGTTTATTTTATTTTATAGAGACAATATCTCATTATATTGCTCACGCTGGTCTTGATTCCTGGTCTCAAGCGATCCTCCCTCCTTGGTCTCCCCAAAGTGTTGAGATTATAGGTGTGAGCCACCACACCAGCCAATACAGTTGATTTTAAAAGAAAAATATTGCACACCAGAAGTAGGGGCACTGTGTTGTTTCATAGTTCAGGGCATGCAGCTACATCTGTGAGCTGAGGATCATTGGGTGCCTTGAGCCACGTAGAGACCTTCAGGACTGGATCCTGGGAGAAGGGCTGGCTGGGAACTAAAACCTTGACCCACAACAGGTGACAGATGACGAACAGCACAGGTTGTACACAAGACAGTTTGCAAAGGCTGTGGGAACACTGTGAGCCTATGGCTATATGAAGCACATGGGAGCTGGATTTTTTTTTTTTTGAGTTGGAGTCTCTCTTTGTTGTCCAGGCTAGAGTGCAGTGGCACGCTCATGGCCACTGCAACCTCGACCTGTTGGGCTCAGGTGATTTTATCTGCCTCAGCCTACCAAGTAGCTGGAATTAGAGGCATGTGCCACCATACCCTCCTAATTTTTTGATTTGTTGTAGAGATGGTCTCACCAAGTTACCCAGGCTGGTCTTGAACCCGTGGGCTCAGGTAATCCTCTCATCTCGGCCTCCCAAAGTGCTGGGATTATAGGCATGAGCCATGGCACCCAGCCTGGGGAGCTGGATGTTATGGGTTAAATCATGTCTCCCAAATTTATGTGCTGAAGTCCTTGTCCCAGTCTTTCAGAATGTGACCTTGTCCAAACACTTCAGAGGTAAGTAAGTTAGAATGAGGTCATCAGGGTGGGCCCTGATCCAAGTTAGAATGAGGTCATCTGGGTGGGCCCTGATCCAAGTTAGAATGAGGTCATCAGGGAGGGCCCTGATCCAATATGACTGGCTTCTTTTTATGAGGGGGACCCCCTAAAACCAGAATTATCTTTTGGAGGGTGGGCCCTTTATAACTGGCTTTCTCTGAGAGGTAAGTCTTCTAGGCTTACCTCTCAGCATCAGGGACCATCGGCCTCAGTGTCCCAGCTAGTGTTGTTGTGAGAGGCTGTGTTCAGCTTTAGTTAATTTTTATTTTTTTGAGTTGGAGTCTCACTCCGTCACCCAGACTGGAGTGCAGTGGCCGCTCCGGGCCACTGTAGCCTCAACCTGCTGGGGCTCCGGCGATCCTTCCGCCTCAGCCTTCCAAGTAGCTGGAATTACAGGCGCGCGCTACCACCCCCAGCTAATTTTTTGATTTATTGTAGAGATGAGGGCTCACCAAGTTGCCCAGGCGGGTCTCGAACCGCGGGCTCAGGCAATCCACTCACCTCAGCCTCCCAAGGCGTGGGATTACAGACTGAGCCACCGAGCCCGGCTAGCTTTAGTTAATTTTTTTTGGAGATACTTTCAATGCATTTGTACATTTCATAATGGGTGATTTACATGAACAACATCTGGCAGTTCAATGCACCTGCCCACACCGTGCAGAGTGTTCGGCAGTTTTTGACCAAAAACGGCATGACCCCTGTACCTCCACCCTCCCTATTCACCAGATCTGTCTCTGAGTGACCTTTTTTTTTTTTTGAGTTGGAGTCTCACTCTGCTGCCCAGGCTGGAGTGTAGTGGCACGCTCACAGCCACCCCAGCATCGACCTGCTGGGCTCTGGCGATCTTTCTACCTCAGTCTTCCAAGTAGCCGCAACTACAGGCGTGTGCTACCATGCCCAGCTAACTTTTAATTTATTGTAGAGATGAGGTCTTGCCAAGTTGCCCAGGCTGGTTTCGAGCCCGTGGGCTCAGGCAATCCACTTACCTTGGCCTCCCACAGGGCTGAGATTGATTACAGGCTAAGCCACCAAGTCTGGCCGACTTTTTTTGTTTGTTTGTTTCCCTGGATGAAACAAGTCCTCTAAGAGAAATGTTTTGCTGATGTGGAAGAGGTGAAACAAAAAAACAGCAGAAGCACTAAAAGGCATCAAAATGGACAAGTTCAAAAACTGTTTTGAGCAATGGAAAAAGCGTCTCAATAGGTGTATTGCATCAAACGAAGAGTACTTTGAAGGTGACTGAAGTTTAAACATGTAAGAACAAATATACAATCTTTTATAAGTAGATTCCTGTTTTTTGTGGCTCTCCCCTTGTAAGAAGAAATCAGGATACAGACCTCCATGCAGGGAGAACACGTGAAGGCAGAGACCAGGGAAATGCTTCCACCAGTCAAGGAACCCAGAGATCTCCAGCAAGCCAGCAGGGACCAGGGGAGCAACTGGAACAGATTCTTCCTCCCGGCCTCAAAGAAGCCAGCCCTGCTGACACTCCGATCTGGGACCCTCAGCCTCAGGACCTGTGAGATGCTAAATGTCTGTTGTTAAGCAGCCCTGTCTGTAAGCACTTCTTTTTGCTTGTTTGTTTTGAGCCAGGGTCTCACTGTCACCCAGGCTAGAGTGCAGTAGCACAATCACAGCTCACTGCAGCCTCCACCTCCTAGGCTCAGGCAATCCTTCCCTCTCAGTTTCTCAAGTAGCTGGAACTACAGGTGTGCACCACCACTCCCGGCTAATTTTTTGATTTTTTTTTGTCAAGATGGGGCTCACTCTGTTGCCCAGGTAGGCTGGTCTTGAGCTCCTGGGCTCAAGTGATCCACCCTCCTCAGCTTCCCAACGTGCTGGGATTACAGGTATGAGCCACCACACCTGGCCTGTCTGTGATACTCTGTCACAGTAATCCCCACAAGCCAATATGGCCAGAGCACTCACAGGCACAGGGAATGGCTGTTCTAGCTTCTTCAGTCCCTGCAGAACCTCCAGGTAGAACTTGTAGAGGAAGCTGACCACTAGCGTCCTCTTGAACTCCACTCTGCCACCTGGGGCTGAGCCTGGGAGGGAGACTTCGTCCAGAACCAGCCTGCAGGCCTCGTCCAGTACCTGCTCAGTCCAGCGCCTGGTAGAATTGAGGCAGGAAGGGACCAGTTAGAGGACAGGCTCAATCCCATGGCATGCACTAGGTATTGGATAGTGACATTTTAGAGACCAAGAGTTTCCTTTTCAGGGGTTGGAAGGGAACGTAGAAATCACCTAATTAAGTCAGGCATATAATCCCAGCACTTTGGGAAACTGAGGTGGGAGAATTGTTTGAGCCCAGGAGTTTGAGACTAGCCAGGGCAACCTAGCAAGACCCCATCTTTAAGAAAAAAAGAAAGAAAAAAAGAGAAAGAAAGAAAGAAATCACCTACTGAAGCCCCTTAGGGTAGCCAAAGCTTAAGGGAGCTGCCTGGAGTGGCCCAAGGGTCATGGCAGGTGAGAAAGGGACCCGTTCTGTGACAGCTTGAGCATAAACATGTTCTGGAGCCCGCATGCTAGGACCAGGTATGGAGTACATAGATCATTAAGGTCAATTCCACAGTGACCTGAACGGAACTCAGGCTTGGATACTGCCTCACCAGGGAAGATCATGTGGGCCCAGGGGCGGAGCGTAAGCTGCTGCGAGACCCTGTCCAGTGTGGGTCTTCTGGACTGTTGACCTGCACAAGAGGATGAGGGCAGGCGGGAAGAAGTCACCTGCTATCTGAGCTCAGGTCACCTGAGAGTGGCATCCAGGAATCAAAGCCAAAATAAGGCTGAGCTCTTTCAGCAAAATCTTAGAAGGAATGAGCAGCGATTTTCCCGGAAGAGTCCCCACCTACCCAGGGCCTCACCAATGCCCGCCAGAGCCAGACTGGCACTGGTTTTATTCAAGGCCAAGTGTCATCTTGAGGATGGGCAGGTCCCCGCTCACCTCCCGAGGAACTGCCGGCAGGATGTGTGTGCGCTGACGGTGGTGGACCCCACCCCTCCGTAGGCCACACTCAGGTCCTCCACGTGGTCTGTGCCTTCCTTGAACAGGACCCGCATGGCTGCAGTCACGTGGGGTAAGGCATTCTGTTGGCTCTGAGCCTGGCGGAAGGCTGACATGAATCCCCACTGTGGAGACCAAAGCCACATGGGGTTATCCCAGGTATTTAAACTGAGCGCACTGTTGGTGCTTCATGGAGCCACTGATTCATCACTTAGACTCAGTCTACTGGGACACAGAGGACTGCTGGCATGATTCGAGGGCTTCTTGTTCCTTCTTGTTCCAAGTGTCCTTCCCAAGCCCCCTTCCAAGGCCCTGGACACTCCCAAGGAGCAGAGGTCACCGGCACTCTCCCTTCAAGGCCAGGGTGCCTCTGAGCAGAACGCCATGTGAATGCATGCCCGGAAGTCTCTGCGCTGACATGTCTCCTGATGCTGTTTCCTCCAGGTTCCAATGCCTTTCCCTGTGCACCCTCCTTACCCAGGGGTATTTTTTTTTAAGTTGGAGTCTCACTCCGTCATCCAGGCTAGAGTCCAGTGGCACACTCATGGCCACCCCAGCATCAACCTGTGGGACTCTGGCAATCCTTCCGCCTCCGCCTTCTAAGTAGCCAGAACTACAGGTGCGCGCTACCATGCCTGGCTAATTTTTTTGATTTATTGTAGAGATGAGGTCTAGCCAAATTGCCCAGGCTGTTCTCGCACCCGTGGGCTCAGGCAATCTCCCAGCTCAGCCTCCCAAAATGTCACCCAGGAGCTTTTAAAGGTGGTTTGCTCAATGTGCAAGAGACACACTGCATTTTTTGGTTTGTAGAAATGATCACTTTTCCATTTGGTGAAGCTCAAAAAAGAACTTTCCAAGGGTGGATTGGGGAACCCTGTGTCGGGAGCAAGAGTCAGGAGGTGCTGCCTGCCCCATTGGGCCCTGCGGTGATGCTGTGTGCCGAGGCAGGGTCAGTGAAGAGCCTGTGCCCTTCCTTTATTCCCATCTGCACTGCCACTGAGGTTGCTCGTGTTTTCATGTGCCTGCTTTTCTGTCTCTGTTGCCTGTACACGGACTTGAATGGGAACACATTTCTTTCCTTCTTTTTTTAGAGACAAGGTCTCACTCTGTTGTTGCTCAGGCTGGAGTGCAGTGGTATGATCACAGCTCACTGCAGACTCCAACTCTTGAGCTCAAATGATCCTCCTGCCTCAGCCTCCTGAGGAGCTGGGATCACAGGTGTGTGCTACCATGCCTGGCTAGTTTTTAAAAATTTCTTTTTTTTTTTTGGTAGAGATGGGGTCTTGCTATGTTGCCCAGGGTGGTCTTGAGCTCCTAGCCTCAACCTATCTTCCCACTTCAGTCTCCCAAAGTGCTGTGATTAGGCACTAGCCACTATGCCCAGCTGGGAACACATTTCAGTTTCCATTCTAAAGGAAAAGCTAATGAAGACCACATGTGGTTGAAAGCATAACGTAACACAAGACTTCCTCTACAAGGAGCTGCCTCCTGCTTTTGCTCATTGTGTATATATGAGTGTGTGTGTGTGTGGTGTTGTGTGGCCTTTCTCTGAGAAGACTGACCTCTTGGGTTTAGGCACAGCTCTGGAAGAGGCAGAGGGAGCAGGGAGTGAGGACAAAAGGCTGTGGCTGGTTGGGTGGCCACATCTGCCTTCAGGCTCTGGGGGCTGTTGGGGTTGACTAGAGCATGGGACAGCCGATCCCCCAACCCCTATGGGCCAGGAAGAGTCCACAGCTGGAGAGCCTGGACCCACGGACATGAAGGGACGATGCCCATGGACCCGTAGCAGTCCCAGACCCACACCCAGAGCTACCTGCTTTCAGCTCTCTTGGTGCTGGACCAGTCCACAGTGGGACAGAAACTGGTTTCCAGGGCAAAGTTATTTTTCTTCCATCTGTTTTTAGATTTCAAAAGATGACTGAACTCAGTTATGAAAAGGGAAAAACAATCTCAGAAGAAACCTGGCCGGACACAGGAGCTCATGCTTATAATCCTTGCTCTCTGGGAGACCAAGGTTGGAGGACTGCTTGAGGCCAGGAGTTCAAGAACAGCCTGGGGAGCATAGTGAGACCTCATCTCTAAAAGTTAGCCAGGCGTGGTGGTGCATGCCTGTAGTCCAAGCTACTTGGGAGACTGAAGAAGGAGGATTGCTTGAGCCCTGCAGTGAGGCTGCAGTGAACTATGATGCTGCTACTGCACTCCAGCCTGGACAACAGAATGACATTCCATCTCTAAAAATAAATAATAAGAATAAGGGCAATCCCCTTGGATTCCCTCCTGCTCTGGGAGCTTTTCTATCCTCTCAATAAATCCTGCTTTAAAATAATAAAATAAAATAAAAATAAAAAGCAACCAACAGGATTCTTACCTTTTGAGAATGAGGAATATGCACAGATTCCAAAATTTCCTCTGGCTTAAGATCCGCACTTGCCAACCCAGCAAGAAAATGTTCATTCAGAGGAATCTGGCGCCTGCCTTCTGTGGAAGAAATGACATTTCTGTAATGACAAGGAAAGCAAGATTATTCTGTACGTTAAATGTCGGTAGAGGAGAAGGAAAGGTCAGCTTCCTCTGCACAGTGCAGTGGAGAGGTCTGAGTCCATGGTAAAGTCACAGGGGCTGCTCCCTCCACAGGAAAGGGCAGCAGCTGCTTCGTGACATTTACTCTTCAATTACAGCACATGTGCCATGGGGACCTAGTCTCCTCACCCTATGGGCCTACTGGGTAGGTGAGATTTTCATTAAAAATATTTTAAAAAATATTTGTAGAGATGGGGGTCTCTCTATGTGGTCCAGACTGGTTTTGAACTCCTGGCCTCAAGCGATCCTCCCGTCTTGGCCCCCCAAATTGCTGGGATTACAGGTGTGAGCCACCGCACCTGGCAGTTTTTATCTTTCAGCAGAGGCCTCCTAACTACACGCAGCCTTTTCAATGTTTATGATCACTTCGTGACACTTAAGGTTGTCACTAAAGTGAACACAGGATTTGATTAACTATTAAATTCAGTTCGAATCACTGAATTTGCTTTTCGTTCTTGCTGTTGTCAGCTTCTGAGATGCCATTAAAGCAAAGTGAGCAATTCACAAAACCTCCTTCCAGCCCAGCTGTCTCCTCTTGGTGATCAGAGCTGTGTCCTCTGGATTGAGAAGCAGTTTGTGGCACCACAGGAGCTTCCTCCAGGAGGCCAAACTATAGGCGGCCTGGGGACCCTGACATGGGTTTGCTCCTTGGCACAGGCATCACTGTGCTGGCTGGGACGTAGGTGTGGTGGGAAGGAGGCAGGGGTGCCCCGAAGGAGGGTCTGCTGGCTGATCTGCTGCCCCCACTGCCCCGGGATGTTTCTCTTATGAATCCCTGCTTCCCCTGGCCCTAGGGATCCACAATGTCCTCCCTGGATGTCACTGTGTGTCCTCACCAGACTTGTAGGTTTTTACACAGCAACCAGGGGGCAACTCAGAGGGCACCACGGGAGGCCTCAGAAGGTGCATTAATGGAGGAGGACTCCTGAGGAGGAGGAGGGGCAGGGAGCCGTCCTGTCCCTCAGGTCTCAGGGAGGGTGTGCACTGTAGCCTCACCCCCACCTCAGCCTCTGCACACTACCCCTGGTGTTTGTGGGCCAGGCAAAATACGTGGCTGAATGTGTGGTCCTGGGTTGTGTGCACATGTGCGCATGCCTGTGTATGTGTGCCTGCATGCATGTGTGTACTTGTATGCATGTGTGTGCATAGGTGCATGTGTATTATATGTGCATGTGTATGAGCATGAATTTGTGGGCACACGTGAGTGCGCTTGTGTGTGTGTGCATGTGTGTGTGTGCGTGCGTGCCAGCATGGTGTCAAGAGGAATCTCCGGCTGCCTCTTGTGTCCCTGTGCCTTCTGCATGCGCCTGTGCTCCCCATGGTGAACTGAGAACCAGGGGCCTGGGCTCTGACTTTAAGCAACTCCTTAAAAATCTACACCAACACGAGGGTTCTAGGTGCTGTCCAGGGTGCAGGTGGCTTACCTTGTGACACCAGGTTGAGGGTCGCGTTGCCCACAGCAAGAACTGGGTTCAGGTCTGAATAGCCATGCCGGCTCATGATGTGGCCCCCTAAGGACTGAGGAGAGGGGCTGCGGCTCGTCACTCCTCCCTCAGCTCCTCCACCCATGGGCACCAGCTCGCACCCTGCAGGAACCCCGAAAGGGCCAAGAGGAGTCTCGGCCAGACCCCCTTTTCTCCTTGGTGGATGGGAGGGTCCAGTGTGTTGGAAGGATCCCTCTGGGGCTCCTGGATGGGGAGCGAATTGAGGCACCTGACACCCACCTCGCACTAGGTGTGTCCTATGTGCTGTCCAACCTCCTGACATATCAACTACAGATCCTCACAACAACCTGGCAAGAGGGACACCAAGGTCTTATTTTACAGATGAAGACACTGGGGCATGGAGAAGTTATGAAACTTGACCAAGGTCCTTGGCTGGGAAGCAGCAGGCCTGGGATTTGCATCCAAGTCATGAGGCCCAGTGGCCAGCTCTGAGCCACCCCACTCGACCTGGCCACAATGCAGGTGGTCATGGTGCTGGCTGCAGAGATGCTGCCCGCTCCGGGTGCAAAGAGCTAATTCCTGCCTTCTTGGGCCTCTGAGACAGCCAGACGCCATACGCTATGTTGGGGTCTGAGGCCTCCACACAGCTGACAGAGACTTGCCCGTTCCCTCTCCCTGGGAGCCCTTGCTGGACCTCAGGAGGCCTGTAGACTCAGGACTTGAGAGGGGAGTGACCAGTGTTCAGCTCAATACAACCCCTCACATAAGGAAGGAATCCGCAGCCACATGGGGTGCTGTGGTGTGGCCTGGAACACAGGCGAAACCAGGAAACCCCATTCCTCTGTGGACAGCCCATTCTACATTTCTTGTTTCCCTGAGCTGAGTGAGACCTGCCTCCTGGACCTTACCTCTCAGCCTTGCTTCTACCCACTGTGACGAGAGGTGACAACACATTTGAACCCAGGAATCTATACACATCTGAAGGCAGCCCTCATGCTCCCTTTGCCTGACCCCTCCCACTCTCATCTCCTTTTGGGGTGGTTTCCAACCCCTCATTCTCCTGCCAGGTTCCAGGGCGTCTAGTCAGAGTTTCTGACTGAGGACAGAATATTCTGGAATTTTTCTCACTTGAGAATTCTTTTCAAAGGAAATGTGTCCTCTCCTAATGCCCGTATTTCAAGAATTTCTAAAACACGGTCTGGGTATATAGGAGGAGAAGCCCGTGTGTTCTGAAAACCTGACTATGTCACTTCTCCTTTCTTCTGGGGTCAAAAACAACCCAACTTTAAAGTGCACCTCCCAGGTCTGAGCATTCTTCTCCAGCTGTGGTTCAGGCAGTCCAGAGTAGAGAAGCTATCCTCCTTGTTTCAGATACTACATTTCTGTTAATGCTGCCTAAGACTGAATTAGCAAAACTGTAACATCCTTTTTTCTACTTGTCTTGCTGCTTAGTCACTCAGTTGACCTTGACTTCTAGTTTTTTAAAATGTATTTTATTAAATAATGCTAATTTTTTTTAAGTCGGGGTCTCACTCTGTTGCCCAGGCTGGAGTGTAGTGACACAATCTCAGTTTACTGCAGCCTCGACCGTCTGGGCTCAGACTATCCTTCCATGTCAGTCTCCCAAGTGGCTAGGAGTACAGGCGCATGCCACCACACCTGACTAATTAAAAAAAAATTGTTTTAGAGACAAGGTCTCACTATATTGCTCAGGCTGGTCTCGAACTCCTGAGCTCAAGCCATCCTCCCACCTCAGCCTCCCAAAGTGCTGGGATTACAGGCATGAGCCACTGCACCTGGCCTAATTTTAAATATTTATACATTGCGCCTATCATTTCAATCTGCTGAGACCCTTCTGCCTTCTGGTTCTGCTGATGCACACGCCAGTGCCTCAGTGAGATTCAGAAGCAGGTGTGCTGCATCCTGCAATTGGAACCAGGGAACGTACTGCTACATTCCGGATCTGCTGTCCTGCCAGGGTGCTCAGCTGCTTCAAGAGGGTCCGGTACGTCTGGGTTTTCTCCTCCGGGAGCTCGGCTATGCTCTTAGCCAAGATGTGCTTCATCTGCGCCAGGGGGCAGGCAGCACCGATCGTCAGTCCTGGAAAGAGACTGTTTTCACTAGTGACATGGGAGGAACCACTGAATTGCAATCATGGCACCAGGGCCTTAGTGTGCAGCAGGTGCTGCTCAGGGAATCTCAGAGAACACAAAAATGGACCAAAGTCCCCACTCCCTCATCAACGAAATCACAACCTCTGGGGCTTTTTTTTTTTTTGAGTCAGTATCTCACTCTGTCACCCAGACTGGAATGCAATGGCATGATCACAGCTCCTGGGCTCAGGCAATCCTCCCTCCTTAGCCTCCCAAGTGGCTGGGACTACAGGCATATGCCACCACACCTGGATAGTTTTCTGGGTTTTTAAGAGATGAGGTTTCACTATGTTGCCCAAGCAATCCTCCCATGTAGGCCTCCCAAAGTGCTGGGATTATAGGTGATGGCAGGCGTGAGCCACCATATCTGGCCTCCGGGGCTTTTTAAAGTCTTCCTGGCCGGGCTCGGTGGCTCACACCTGTAATCCCAGCACTTTGAGAGGCCGAGGTGAGTGAATTGCCTGAGCCCATGGGTTCAAGGCCAGCCTGGGCAACTTGGTGAGACTTCATCTCTACAATAAATAAAAAAATTAGCCGGGTGTGGTAGCGTGCACCTGTAGTTCTGGTTACTCGGAAGGCTGAGGCGTAAGGATTGTGGGAGTCCAGGCAGGTCGACGCTGGGGTGGCCGTGAGCATGCCACTGCACTCCAGCCTGAACAATGGAGTGAGACTCCAAATCAAAAAAAAAAAAAAAAAAAAGAAAAAAGTCTACCAAGTAGTTCTTCCATGCAACCTGGGATAGCCCACAACCTTCTTTGGACAGACATGAGGAAATAGAGGCTAGAGAGAGGGAATGAGAGTAAAAACTTGCAGGTGGCAGACACTACTGGAACTTTCCTGATTGATCATGGTGACACTATGCAAAGCTGCTTTGTAATGAAGAGGGATAGATCTGAAGGCATTACAATCATGGCAGAGGTCGTTAAGTTCCTCAGGTCATTGTCTCAAACCAATGATGCTTTGGAGCAGTTTTCACACCTGATATTCAAAATGTTCAACAATCAGTTTTGTGAGGGGCACTGGCCAATCAGAATGAACACAGCCCAGGTTAGGAGCAGCCCCTGGCTTTATGTTGGGTGAGGAAGGTGGGGGTTCCTGGGAAGGGATCAGGGTAGTAACGCGAGAGTGTCCAGCAGCACTGGGCAAAGCTATTTGCTAACTGGCAAGGAAATAATTCAACATTTTAACAAGTGTTACAACGGTGCTTGTGAGGACTGACAGGAGACCAGTGCGAGCTCTAGGGCTTCTCTTAGTAGAGGTGAGAGGGTTCAAGCCAGCCTTCCAAAGTGAAGTCCTTACCCAAACCATCAGGAGATGAATTAGGTGCCTTTTACAATTAACCCTTTGATCCTGGGGTTTGCAGAATGAGACACTAACATAGGGTTTGGCTTGATCTCACTGGCTAGGCTGGGCTCTCACTTCAGTTAGTCTGTTTTTTTTTGTTTTAAATCAGGTTTCAGGTTGGACTTTGACTTTCCTCTTGTTGATTCATCTCTGAGAATATCTCGCCCTCCCACTTGACATCAATACTGAAGATGCACTTGGCACGACACTTCTTCCCTTTGCCCATGGATGCATACACAGCCCAGAACCTCAGTAATCTCAGCAGACTGGGCAGGTGAGGGAAACTCTGACCACTCCTTATTCGCTTTGAGCTAAGAAATCTTGCTGAAAAGCAACAAAACTGTCTCTCCTCCCTGGAATATCTATGCCTGAAGTTCTCACACTGTTTCTGATTCAGTGTTTCCTAAAAGGCACCCTGTAACAGGGGATCTGATTACACCCACAGCCCATAGCCATGGGGTCAAATCTTACAATAGATCCATTGACACAGGGTCAGATCCCACCCTAGACAAACACAGTGTTTAATTCCCCCCTGGACCCATCAAATTGGGGTCTGATCCAACTCCGGACCCATCAACATGGGGTCTGAACCCACACTTGACCCATCTACACAGGGTCAGATCCAACCCCAGACCCATCAACAAGGAGTTTGATCCCACCCCAGACTCATCAACACAGGGTCAGATCCCACCCAAGACCCATCAACACGGGGTCTGATCTCACCCCAGACCCATTAACACGGGGTCGGATCCCACTCTGGGCCCATGAACATGGGATCAGATCCTGCCCTGGACCCAACAACATGGGGTCAGATCCCACCTCAGACCCATTCATAGGGGGTCAGATCCCATCCCAGGCCCATCAGCAAAGGGTCTGATCCCACTCCAGACCCATCAACACGGGATCAGATCTCACCCAGACCCATCAACACAGGATCTGATCCCACCTCAGACCCATCAGCCTGGGGTTTGATCCCACCCCAGACCCATCAACGTAGAGTCAGATCCCACCCCAGACTCATCAGCACGGGATCAGATCCCATCCTAGACCCATCAACACGGGGTCTGATTCCACCCCAGATCCATCAACATGGGGTCAGATCCCACCTCAGACCCATCAACACAGGGTCAGATCCCACCCCAGACCCATCAGTACGGGATCAGATCCCACCCAGACCCATCAAAATGGGGTCAGATTCCACCCCAGACCCATCAGCACAGGGTGAGACCCCATCCCAGACCCATCAACACGGGGTCAGACCCACCCCAGACCCATCAGCACGGGGTCAGATCCTACCCCGGACTCATCAGCATGGAGTCAGATCCCACCCTAGAACCAACAACAAAGGATCTGATCCCACCCCAGACCCATTAAGATGAGGTCAGATCCTACCCCAGACCCATCAACACGGGATCTGATCCCACCTCAGACCCATCAGCATGGGGTCAGATCCCACTCCAGACCCATCAGCAATGGGGTCTGATCCCACCCCAGACCCATCAACACAGGATCTGATCCCACCCCACTCCCACAGTTTCCATTGGAGCCTGGTTTCTAACTTTTGCAAAAAATCCTAGCCTTATGTTAGCAGAGTGCTAGGAAGCCACATCTGTTTTCCATCATATAATTTCTTCTTCCTAAGCAGAAGACCCAGCCCTATATGAGGAGAAACAAAAGGTCTTCTGTTATAATAATAATAATTATCAATATTATTAAGAAGGTCAGAAGCACCGCACAGGCCTGCATCACTCCCCTTACCTGGCGTGGGCAGGAAGGTGTAGTCTGGCTCCGGGGGCTTGAAATACCCCATCTGCTTTGTAATCCAAGTCCTCCTAAGATATCAAATCCAGTCTGAAGCCTGACCATCCTGCTTCTCTCACCCACGTCCTCACCTCGCTTTGTGCTGGATGTGACACACTCAGTGCGAGGCCACACAGAGGACATTCTACTTACTGTGGTTCTATTCATATGTTACTCCACCTCTGATAAAAAAAACCTAGCTTGCATTCCAGTGTGATTAAAAAGAACTTCAAGTTTTGAATCTCAGAAAGAGTATTTCATTTGAACTCCAGGCTTTCCAGAGTTCATGGGCCCACGGGATACACACAATGGCTTTCTGGGTCACTCACTAGACTGAAGATTTTGAGGAAGAAAAATGTATACCAAGGCTGGGCATGGTGGCTCAGGCCTATAATCACAGCCCCTTGGGAGGCTGAGGTGGGAGGATCACTTGAGCCCAGGAGATGGAGACCAGCCTGGGAAACAATGAGACCTTGTCTCTACAGAAAAATACAAGTAAAAAAATTAGCCAGGCATCATGGTACACACCTGTAGTTTCAGTTACTTGGGAGGCTGAGGCGGGAGGATTGCCTGAGCCTAGGAGCTTGAGGCTGTGGTGAGCTATAACTGTGCCACTGCACTCTAGTCTGGGTGACAGAGCAAGATCCTGACTCAAAAAAAAAAGTAGACTCAGCCAAATATGGACGTGATAAGGACGAGTGCATAAAATTTAAACAAACGTGTCAGTGTGTCAGTCAACAATACGGCTGTCATGGAGGTTTTTTTCCAGGGTGTACTGGTGGTGTACGCATCTGTTCCAGAGTCCTTCATGCATCTGGGCCTTGGGAAAAGCTTGAGAACTGGGAAAGTTTCCTGAAAGCCACTAGAGGGTACTCACGCCTTAATTTCAAGAGGCCCAGAGGCCCGTGCATTGTGTCTTCAGATTTCAGAATCTGACTCTGCTTTGGCTGCAGAGACCACACTGAGCAGTCAATTCAAATAGCCTACTGGATGGGCTGTGGACAGACTGGGGGCGAACTGGAAGTGGGAGTCCTTGTAACCTGGACCACCAGCCAGCCTGGGGACCTCTGGCCAGTCTGCTTTCCTTCTGCATCTTGGCCTTCTCATCTATGAGATGAGAGATGTGAGTCATAATGAGGACTTTGAACTGTGCTTTGAAGGGCCCTCTGGGGGACAGACACGGGGGGCTCAGAGATGGGGGGTGGTGAAAAGTGTCCCCTCTCCTTCACACAGGCAGGGTTGTGGAGCTCAAGAGAAGTTGGAAAACAAGGGGCTAAATGATCCTTGGGTGGAGATGGCAAGGGTGCCCGTCGTAACCCTGCTTGGGTCAGTTGCCCATTCTCCCACCCTGTCATCCTCTCTTCTCCCTTCTGATCAATGCCAAGTTTTCAGATAAATCTAAGCACATTCCCCAGCTTTCCCTCCCTCTCTCCCTTTCTCTCTCTCTTTCTTTTTCTTTCTTTCTTTCTTTTTCTTTCTTTCTTTCTTTTTCTTTCTTTCTTTCTTTTTCTTTCTTTCTTTCCTTCCTTCCTTCCTTCCTTCCTTCCTTCCTTCCTTCTTTCTTTCTTTCTTTCTTTCTTTCTTTCTTTCTTTCTTTCTTTCTTTCTTTCTTTCTTTCTTTCTTTCTTTCTTTCTTTCTTTCGTCTCACTCTGTTGCCCATGCTCAAGGGCAGTGTGGTACATCATGGCTCACCATAACCTTGACTTCCTGGGCTCAGGTGATCCTCCCACCTCAGCCTCCCAAGTAGCTGGGACTATAATCACAGGCCACCCTGCCCAGATACTCTTTTGATTTTTTTTTTAATAGAGATGAGGTTTTGCTATGTTGCCCAGGCTGGTCTTGAGCCCCTGGGCTCAAGTAATCCACCCACCTCAGCCTCCCAAAGTGCTGGGATTACAGGTGTGAGCCACTGCATCCGGCCCCTAAAAAGATTTTGACAGTAAAGTTTCATGGTGGGGATGTCACATCACATTAGAGAATGACAAGTTGGCAACAGTACAGACAAGATAGATGAGGAGGTTCGGGGTATTTGGCAGGCATAAGCTTAGTGCAAGATCCCTCTCCGACAGCTTTCTAAGAATACCAGGGACTCACCGTCACTAGTTTCAGTTACCATCCTCAGCTCCAAGATCCGAGCAGGAGACAGGAGAATGGGGTGAAAACGTCCTTGAGATTTCATGGCAGGTCCTGAAGAGCAAATACATTTTAGAGACACTTCAGAAAGAGAAAATGCATTTTATCCCCCCTATTGAAATGTTCTCATCAAGATGTATAATATATAGTATATACACATTTGAGTTGGGATCTCACTTTGTTTCTGAGCTGGGGTGCCACGGTACAATCCTGGCTTATTGCAATTTTGACTTCCTGAGTTCAGGCAATCTTTCCACTTAAGCCTTCCAAGTGGCTGGGACTACAGGCATATGCTACCATGCCTGGCTAATTTTTCGATTTTTTTTTGTGGAGACAAGGTCTTGCTATGTTGCCCAGGCTAGTTTTGGCTCAAGTGATCCTTCCTCCTGGGCTCAAGCGATCCTCCTGCCTCTACCTCCCAAAGTGCTTGGATTACAGATGTGAGCCACAGCACCCGGCCTCATCAAGATATTAATATACAAAATTGTAAAGATTGACAATAAATGTGCATAGGTGTGAAGGCCATTGTCACACACCCCTCCCAAACAAAGGTATGGAGCACACACTCTCATATATGTATGCATTTATGTATGCACCCCCTACTTAGATATAAAACTAGGAAATGAGAAGGCCCAGAAACTTTCTTTCTTTTTTTTGAGTTGGGAGTCTCACTCTGTCGCCTAGACTGGAGTGCAGTGGCATGCTCATGGCCACCACAGCCTTGACCTGCTGAGTTCCGGTGATCCTTCTGCCTCAGCCTTCCAAGTAGCCGGAACTACAGGTGTGCACTACCACGTCTGGCTAATTTATTTATTTATTGTAGAGATGAGGTCTCACCAAATTGCCCAGGCTGGTCTCGAAACTGTGGGCTCAGGTAATTCACTTGCCTCAGCCTCCCAAAGTGCTGGTATTACTGGCTGAGTCGCTGAACCTGGCCCCAGAAGCTTTCAGAGCATTCTTGCACACAGGTGCCTGGAGACATGAGAAGAATACTCCTAATAGCCAAAGCTTGGGAAGAACTAGAGCTGTTTAGACAAGCTGTCCTCTCGCAATAGAATAGACATCGCTCCAAGTTCACGTATGGAAGATGATATGGACGTGCGCAGCCACATGGGCAACTCTCAGGTGAGAGTGCAGAGTAAGTAGAGCACATCACAGAAGAGTAGAACAGTACTGGGCTACTCATGTGAAGTTTAAGAATAGCAAAACAAGGCCACATGCAGTGTCTCTCACCTGTAATCCCAGCACTTTGGGATGCCAAGGTGGGAGAATTGCTTGAGCCCATGAATTTGAGACCAGCATGGGCAGCATAGAAAGACCTCATCTCTACAAAAAATCAAAACATTAGCCAAGTGTGGTGGTGCGTGCCTGTAGTCCCACTGAGACAGAGGATTGGTTGAGCTTAGGAGGTGGAGGCTGCAGTGAGCTGTGATCATGCCACTGCACTCCAGTCTGGGTCACAGAGTGAGATCTTGTTTCATTAAAAAAAAAAAATAAAATAAAAAAAAAAATAAAATATATATATATATGCAAAACAAAACATCATCTTCCATCTTGTTTAGGAATTCAAGTTATATGTAAACTTATTTTAAGAAAAGGAAGTAATTGAGCAACACAAAATTCAGGCTGATAAATCTCGTCAAGAAGAAAGGGAAGGGTAGGACATGCGGTTTGAGGGGCTCACAGGGCCTTCCGAGTTCTTGGTCAAGTTTGCGTTCTTAAAGTGGGTGTGAGTGGAAACTGAGTGTGTGCTGTATTGTTAATAGCCCTATAATATTTTAGGAAATTCTATTATGTTTAGTCAATAGTTAACAAAGACAAAAAAAAGGACAAGATAAATTGAATGATTAAAAACCCTCTAATACTTTCTCCCCATACCTCAAGGGGTCACGCTGCATACTACCAGGGCATATACACATCTAACTTTGGAGACCACTGGCTTTACTATAAAATATGAGGTTTTGGCCATTTGGCTGTGATGGCTCAGGCCTATAGCCCCAGCATTCCAGGAGGCAGAGATGAGAGGATCACTTGAGGCCTGGAGTTCAAGACCAGCCTGGGCAACGCAGTGAGATCCTATCTCTACACTACATTAAAAAAACAACAACCCCAAATAATAGCTAGACATGGTGGTGCACACTTGGGAGGCTGAGGCAGGAGGATCACTTGAGCCAGGAGTTCCAGGTTACTATGAACTATAGTTGCACCACTGCACACCAGCCTGGGAGTCAGAGCAAGACCCTGTTTCTAAAAAACCCAACCCAACCCAACCAAACCAACCAAACCAAACTAAACCAAAAAAGAATGAGTTTTCTTCCCCAAAAAGTAGTTTCCGTAGGCTGATAACAGAGTGAGGGACAGGAGCGCAGCTCGGCATTCATGGTGGAGTGAGACCCTCTGTGATCACTTACCCAGCGAGGTGTTGCCCAGGATGAGGGGGGCTTCGGGGTGCTTCACTTTCAGCTCTAGAAGATCCGTGAGGGTCCCAGGAGAGATCCAGGTAACCCTCTCTCCACGAAAGGTCAGCGTTTGTTTTTCTGGGTTCTCCACCATCCTCTAAGGGCATAGGACAAGGAGTATGCTCATGTGTGTGCCGTCCCCCAGGGTTATGCGAGGTTCCAGATAGAGACATGCTCCTTGAGAGAGACATCAGGGGCTCCGGGATCCACCTGCCCTGAGGGGGTCTCACCACACCCATTGGTGTGCCTGCATTTTCATCAGTAGAGGGCTTTTTGGGAACAAGTGACGACGTAACCTGGCTCTTGTCGTTGGGCATTCATAATTATACTCATGCTCCTAAATTAATATTTTCAGCCTGGATTTTCTCCTCTGAAACCCAGACTCACATCTGAATTTAGACTTGATGTCCCTCCCTTTTTTTGTTTTAATTTTTCAAAAAAATATTTTGTAGAGATGGAGTTTTGCTATGTTGTCGAGGCTGGTCTCAAACTCCTGGCCTCAAGCAATCCTTGTGCCTCGGCTTCCCAAAATGTAAGCCACTGTGCCTGGCTGATGTAATCTCTTAGATGGGTCATAGGCATCTCAAATTTAATTTGTCCAAACTGAGCTTCTCATATTTAACCCCTCTCCCAGTCTCCAAAGAGGAACCCCCAAAAGCAACAACCTCCTGTTCTTCTGAAGTCTCTGAAAATGGCCACCCCACCCTTCCAGCCTCCAAACCCCACAGTCAGCCTTGGCTTCTTTCTCATCCACACCCACATCACACCCATCAGCAAGTCAGGCTGGCTTTTCTTCCCAAATACATCCAGAACCCGTTTGCTCCTCACCACCTCCCACCCAGCAGCCTGGCAGGGCCACCGCCATCACCCAGAACAGCTTCAGTCCCCTGGCGGAGCGGTGCTCCTTCCCTTCCCCTCTGCAGGCCGTTCTCAGTATATCAGCCATAATCATCCCATCACAACTCCCATTGGAGCACGTCCCTCCTCTGTCCAGCCTCCCATTAGCATCTCAGCTCACGCAGAGCAAAAGCCCAGCTGTGTGAAGTCCAGCAGTTCTACTGACAGCTCCCTGACCCACCATTGCTGACTCCTCTCCAGTCAGGCTGGCTTCGGCTCTATCCCTTGATCAGGCCAGGTGATTTCCCAGCCTTAGGATCTTGGCACTTGCTGTTCCAACTGCCTCATGCTCTCCTCCCACACGCTTCAGCTGTGGGGGCTGGCACCCTCACTTCCTTCCAGACTTTCTTCAAAGGTTGCCTTCTCAAGAAGTTTTCTCTTGCCAGGATATTTAAAATGGCAACTCCCTGCATCTGATCCTTCTTCTCGATTTTACTTTTTCTCCTTAATACTTGTCACTTGCTAACACACTGTATCTTTTTTTTGTTTTTTTAAGTCAGAGTCTCACTCTGTTACCCAGGCTGGAGTGCAGTGGCACACTCACAGCCACCGCCGCCTTGACCTGCTGGGCTCAGGCAATTCTTCTGCCTCAGTCTTTCAAGTAGCTGGAATCACCGGCATGTGCCACACCATACCTGGATAATTTTTTGATTTATTGTAGAGATGAGGTCTCGCCAAGTTGCCCAGGCTGGTTTCGAACTCTCTCCTCTACCTTCCAAAGTGCTGGGATTACAGGTGTAAGCCACCATGCCTGTCTACACTGTATCTTTTGTCTATTACTTTGCTCATTGTCTGTCTCTTTTACCAGATGACAAGCTCTTTGAGGGCAGGTATTGCATTAGTTTTGCTCTTTGCTGTATATTCAGTACCTAGAACAGTGCCTGGCATGTTGCTGGATGGATAAATATTTGTTGAATGAATGAGTAAGCACATCAGAACCCCTTCAGAAACAGGTACAAGGAGGTCCCCCCCAAAAATCAGAATTATCTTTTGGAGGGCAGCTTCCTTGTAGTACAGGAAGTTTTCCCCACTAAGTAAGTGTTCTAGGAACCCATCAGCATCAGTGTACCAACTAGTATTGTGGTGAGATGCAGCATTTAGTTTCAGTGAATTTTCTTTGGAGATTCTTTTAACATGTTTGCCCATTTCATAATGGGTGATTTATGAGTGCACCTGCCCACCCCGTGTTGAGTGTTTAGCAGTTTTTGACCCCAAACGGCAAGACCCCATCCCCATCCTCCCTATTCACTTGACCTTGCCCAGAGTGATCTCCAGCCCCCATGAAGTAAATCCTCAAAGGGAAATGTTTTGCTGATATGGAAGAAGAGAAACAAAAAAATGGCAGAAGCACTAAGGCATCAAAATGGATGAGTTCAAAAACTGTTCTGAGCAGTGAAAAAAGCATCTCAACAGGTAGCACTGCATCAAACGGGGAGTACTTTGAAAGTGACTGAAGTTTAGACATGTAAATAAATACACAATTTTTTATAAACAAAATCTGGGGTTTTTTGGTCCCCCTTGTATGTTATAGGTTGGGACCGCTGGCAGCCTGTGAACAAAGCTGGAGATGTTAGTGGGAGGTAGGGTGAGGGAGTGGGGCTCTCCTGGAGGTGCTCCTCAGGTCAGTGTGCTGGAGTGACCAGAGGACAAAGGGGAGTCCAGTGGTGCCGTCTCCTGCACAGTCCTGTGCCCCCTACAGACAGCGATGGTGAGAGGAATGAGGAAGTCATTTTAAGAAACAGCCTTGCCGGGCTCGGTGGCTCAGCCTGTAATCCCATGCCTTTGGGAGGCTGAGGTGAGTGGATTGCCTGAGCCCGCGGGTTCGAGACCCGCCTGGGCAGTGAGACCTCATCTCTACAATAAATCAAAAAAATTAGCCAGGTGTGGTAGCGCGCGCCTGTAGTTCCAGCTACTTGGAAGTCTGAGGCGGAAGGATTGCTGGAGCCCCAGCAGGTCGAGGCTGCGGTGGCCGGGAGCGGCCACTGCACTCCAGTCTGGGTGACAGTGAGACTCTAACTCAAAAAAAAAAAAAATTAAAAAAAGGAACAGCCTCAGCCCTGGCTTCAGGGAGAGTGTCTGGTCTAGTCAGGGCATGGGGAGCTGGGTGGGAGGATGGGGAAGGGTAGCAGGTGTCTTGCTCTGAGTAAATGTCTCCACAACTTGACTTTCACAGGAAGGAAAATAGCAGCTTCATAAAACAGTTTATAACTCATGATATTTAAACGAGCAGATAAAATATCCAACTCCTCTTACCAAGAGTTCTGGAGGAAAGATGAGCTCCTGGGTAGGGTCCAAGGGCTGGAACTCCTCTTTTGCAAATAATTTTGTGCAGGTCTTGATAGAGAGAAGAGGGAGATAGCCGTGGAAACTGTTGTGATTCTTTACAGGAATTAGGCAAGAGGAACACAGTAATAACTCTCCTATTCTTCTTGTACAGGGACATAGTTCAAACCAAATAATTTAAAACAAGACTCTTGTTGTAAGAGAAATACCAATTTGCCCCTCATCTAAAGGAAAGAGTATCCTGTGGAATTCTGCAAAGGGTATTCTGGGAAACTCCAAGAGAGTATGAAAAAACCATCAGAGGTTAAATCAGTTAGGGAAGTCCTCTCTCCAGTGTCCCAGTCACTATCCTCTTTCTTCCCAACTCAGGATTCAGAAAACTAAAAGCTCTGAGAAGTCCTGTAGTTTAAGTAAAAATGACTCCAAACCTACACACCCATGCATAAGCACGCACGTGCGCGCACACACACACGCACATACACTCCGACTTTCATAACAATAGTTAACATATATTGAGTGTTTATGCTCCAAGTACTTTTACATATATTAATAATTTACTTAACCTTCACAATAATTGTATGATAGAAAGTAATTTATCTCCATTTTACCCATTAGGAAACTAAAGCACAGTGAAAAGTTGCCCAAACTATAATTGTACTTTGAATCAGGTCTGTATTAGCTTTGGAAAACACTTATTGCCAAGAAACTTTTCTTCTTTTCTTTTTTTGTTTCTTTTTTCTTTTTTGAGTCAAGGTCTCACTCTGTTATCCAGGCTGGAGTGCATTGGCATGATCACAGCTCACTGCACCCTTGACCTCCTGGGCTCAGGTGATCCTCCCACCTCAGCCTCCTGAGTAGCTCCGACTACAGGTGGGTGCCACCATGTGTAGCCATTTTTTTGATTTTTTGTAGAGTTGAGGATTCACTGTGTTGCCCAGGCTGGTCTCGAACTTCTGGGCTCATGAGCTTCTCCTGCTTTGGCCTTCCAAAGTTCTGGGATTATAGGCTGTAATCCAGCCTGGGCGACAGAGTGAGACCCTGACAAAACAAAACAAAACAAACTGACTTTAGCATGTACTGATCCCACCAAGGCACTGATTCTCTGCGAGGTGGTTGTGGGGTTGCAGCCCACTTTCCTTAAGCAACAACTCTCTGGTGGGTCGCATACTTTCTTCAGACCCAAGTTAAGTGAGAGGTGGAGCCAAGAATGGGGAAAAGGATGGAGATGCGGAGCCTCAGCTGGGACTGATGGGCAGAGTCCTGTCTAAGGCCCGTCTGTGTTTTCAGATTTCCTTGGTCACAGGAAGCCAGTTCTCTATTTTATCCTGCATTTCAACTTCTTTAAGTCATTCATTGGAGAATCTGGAAGTGGCTCTTTTTCTGGAAACTAGTATCTCGACTTTCTAGACCAGAGACTGGACAGTTTAAGGCTATAGACTTTCCGCTGTGGGGCCTTTGGTCACTGATTGTGGGTGGCTCCGCAGCCCTCTGTGGTCGCAGCGCCCTCGGTCTACAAAGGAGGAGACAGCGACGGAGGACACTGGGAGTGGGTACAGAATTCCATCTGCCTCTGAGGAGGTGACCCATCCTGAGCTGGAGCAGGTGCTTTTCTTCTGTCTGGGTGTTTTGTTTTCCTAGTGATTCTGCCTTTCAGACTACAAAGGGGAGCACGAGTGTGGGCGTGGACCACCCTTACCCCGTGCCCAGATGAAAAGTGCTCATTTGCGCATGGCATGCGCTTGGTGGGTTGGGGGCAGAGAGGGAGCCTTAAAACTAACAAGCGCCAAGGGACTCACGTCACTCTCCCTGCTGAGGGAGGAAAGATCGTTTTCTTCCTGTTCCAAGCAGCATTTTCCTTCTCCTTTCTGCTGACAGGCTTTTGACTCCTAAGAAGGAAAATGCTTAGATTAAGAACTTTTTTAGCAGGTAAATGGAAAATGAGATGTTGGCCATTTAAATGAGACTGCAGAATTTTAAAGTCATTTTCGTGGGGTAAATTTCTCTTGGAACAGGGATAATCACACAAGGCCTTTTTTTGCTTTAGTTTTAAAATAAAATGATACATATAACTATATAAATATATGATATGACAAAACATAATATATGACATAAAACATAAAAATGTATAAAAGAAACAAACTATCATTACCTGATTCCACTGATGATATTTTGGCATAACATATATTTGGGATTGTACTAGTGTATTTATATAGTATATAATATATGAACATTTGTGTTAATCACATGTATGCTTTGTGTACATATATAATTTTTAGGTTAATTTCTAGTGGTAAAATTAATTGCTTTTTAAAGATGCTTTCCAAGGCAATAGCAACTTACCCACTCTCTATTGTATATATGATTCAACAATATAGAATATCATAATTCATATAAGAGCCTGAAGAAAGATAAAGAAAAAGCAAAGAAGGAGGAGGAGGAAGGAGGAGGAGAAAGAAGAAGAAAGACAGCAGGAAGAGGAGGAGGAGGAAGAAGAAGAGGAGTAGGAGGAGGAGAAGAAGGGAAGATAGTTTTGGTAGCCAGATGACAGACCTTTGGGACCTGCCTGGTTGTCTGGGAATAGGTTGCTGATGAAGATGACAGAATTTCCCATTCCCTCCGAATTTCTCTCTTGTATCTTTTCCCTCAAACAATTTCTAAGCATCTAACAAAACACTTTCTTCCAGACACCACCTGAGCGTCTCCAGCACCATCTTCCTAAACCTGCCCAAGTAGCAAAAACAGCCGGACCAAACGAGCAGTGGCTCTGCTCTCCTTCAAATCTCTGAGTGCCTCCATGATGACCCTGGGGCACCAGCAACAGGAAAAGTCAGTCTTCTCTTAGTCTAGTCGACATCAGCCTTGTGACTTCCCTCTGGGGCTGGGTTACTTCACCAATTAAAGTCCCGTGGGACCTGGTGGCTATTGGGCAGCCTGTCAATTTCATGTTTGCCTTTTGCCTGATTGCATTTTGTCCCAGAATCTGTATGCCTGGAGGGGTGGATAACCTCCATCTCTGTGGGGGAAAGAAGCTTCCTTTGATTTCTGTTATTTGTATTTCACAATCGCTTTTCTATTTACACTGGCAACTTGCTGGGCTCATCAGCTATTATTTTACTTCTCAGCTTGTCACCTCTGGCTCCCCCGTGTGGCAGTACCTGCCTGGGCCATGCATGTACGGGTCTGCCTGGCTCTAGAGTGTGGGACACACCTGCTAGTCTACTTCTAGACCCTCCTCTGCTATTTGTGGAGCTCTGCCTGTGGCCTAATGCCTATTTCTTCCATGCCAGCTTCATTCTGTACCGCAAGGGGCCCCAAATGCCTGTGTGAGCACCCCAGTATGAATGGCCTAGCTCTTCCACTCCCTCGACAAACAGCCGCTTGTTGGCTGCCCTCTGACCTAGGGGTACAGATACTGCTGTTGTGATCTACCCGTGGTGTCCTCAGGAAAGAGGCTGTGTTTGGCCTAAGAGTGGGGTCAAGATCACACATGGAGAATGGTCTAGAAAAGGAGGGAAGCTCCAGGTGGGCAAGTCACCTTGGCTCCGTGAACTCTTGAGAATCGCTGGAGGAGGACCAGAGAGAGTCCCTCTAAAGTGTGGGTCCAGGCTCAGTGGCTCAGCCTGTAATCACGCACCTTTGGGAGGCTGAGGTGAGTGGATTGCCTGAGCCTGTGGGTTCGAGACCCGCCTGGGCAACTTGGCAAGATCTCATCTCTACAATAAATCAAAAATATTAGCTGGGTGTGGTAGCGCATGCCTGT